AGGGCAACCCTTCCCTTGAGCATACTGGCTGGTCTCGATAGCTCAGTGCCATTTGCAAACTGGAATGCATTTTATCACTTCCATCAGGTCATTGGTAAAGATGTTAAACAGGACAGGTTCCAGGACATACCTCTTGTGCTACTCCACCGCCCTCCGGGTAGATTTTGACCCATTCACCACCACCCTCTAAGCCTAATCATCCCATCAATTTTTTTTTACCCATCTAATAGCCTCCCACACAGACTGACACAGTCCAACTTGGACACAAGAACATTGTGGGAGACAATGTCAAAAGCCTTGCTAAAGTCAAGGCAAATGACATCCACTGCTCTCCCCTGTGATGATGGCAGTGGCAGTTCTGGTATTAATCTTCAGGTAATTAGGTTTAACTACTGACTCTGTAAACCAGTACTGCTGGGAAGACACATCAGAAACAAGGGCTGGTGCACACTCTCTCGGGAGTATTTTTCCTCAACACAGCTCTGGAGAGTATCGATTGGTATTACCCAGATCCAGTATGCCAAGTGCTCAGCCGTACTTAATCAGCACAGCTCCATTAAACTCAGTCTAACGTCAATACTTTGCCTTAGCTAACAATTCTGGCTTGTTATGCAAGGGACTGATATTTGTGGCCTCAACACTTTGTGCAGAATGTTACCTGGACAGGCCCTGAGAGTTCTGATAGGAACAGCTGAGGAAACTGGAGAGATGTGAACTTCCTCACAGTTCTCCTGGGAGATACATAGATCCACTGTGTTCCTGTGATGCTCTTTCTCTTACCTTTGCAAGGAAACTCCATGCTGCATATTGCCCTGAGGTTGTGCTGTTTTTCAGTTTCGCTGTGTGCAACATCAGGAAGAATCCCAACAGTCCACTGCAAAAGATGGGGAAAGCTTTTGTTAATAAAGTCTCTAAATTTCAACTAAGCTGCCTCTAACAGATGTCTTGATTTTCTGAATGCACAACTGAACAGACACCCTTCAAGCAGTGTTAATTCCATTTGGAGAAAGCAAGCTGGTGGACAAAGAACTTCCTTTACGTCCAGTAAATCTGGGGGTTTGTTTAGCCAGTGGCTGCAGTCTGAGTAGAGTATGTCTGACAGTTTTGTGCTTGGTCTCTAATGCACTTGCATAATCGGAAAAGTAGAGATTACTGGAAACACGGGGTCAAATATTAACTTCAGGCACTGAAATGGCTCTGAAAAAAGGTAGTGTAAATTTCAACAGGAGCCACACATGTTTAGCCACTAACAGGCTTCAACCTCCACAGAGCCTTGGATTGGAAAAAACCAACAAAACCCCCAAAGACCATACCATCAGAAAAATTCTGCCTGATGCTTTCAAGCCGTGCAAACTTCATAAAGTCCAAATCCCAATTAAGAAGTCAAATATATTTCTACTAGACAACAAATAGACAGATGACTCACTAGCGCTGGGGAACAGAATATTCTAAAGCTCTCAGCTGACTAGTAAGTGAATTTTGATTCTCAAACCACTTAAGACATGTGCCCTGTGCTCCTGTAGCCAAGCCTACTCTTCAGGCAACTGTTCCACATGTCACTGGACTTTAGACAACTTATAAGCTTGGCCTCTGGATTCTGTTTCACTTATATATTTGCATCCCACTGGTTATGAACCAGGGACATAGCGTAAGCAAGCAAGGAATAAAAAGGAACTTCAAAATACGTAAGGAACAAATCACCGCCTGGCTAGTACAGAGGCATAAGAGATTATAAAGTACTGTGGGAGGCAGCATGGGAAAGGAAATAGGATCAAAGCAGCATGCAGGTAGTGAGCAAAATGGGCCATGGCACTTGAAGAGGGTATGCTGTCCCAGATGCTGATGCAACGTAGCTGGTCCCTTCTCTGCTCCAGCAGAAAGGAGATTGTGGCCCCTCTGCTCCAGGCTAAAAGTTCTATGCTGGGCTTTTAACGTGAGCCAAAAGCTGTTCCCTGCTCAGGACATGGAACAAAGTCATGACTCAGCCTGTGTAAAACACCATGGGTGCAGGTGTTTTTGGTATATCAAACACAGGAGGGTATTGTAACTGCCCAGGAGGAAGAGATACTGCAGTGTCTTTCATTGAACCATAACACAAGATCCCAAAGGACTACCTGCTGCACCTGGAACCAAGCAGATGCTGCTTGGATGACTTAATAAAAGAGAGGCCCAAAATCAGCTACCAGTTGCAGAGAATGGGCAGAACATTCCACAGTGAGAAGTTGGTGAATTCAGTGAAATACTAAGCAGCACTGCCTAAACTCCTGAAAGTCTAGTAGCTGGCTAAAGATTAAAAACTTCTTCCCTTCTGAAAGGGGGTTTTAGTCAGACTGATTCAAAGCTGTTTAGTGTAATACAGAGATAAAGAGTGAAGCAGCTAAGTATAATACCTGAAATACTGACACCATTGAGTAAACACTTAATGAAACAATGGAAGCAGTTTGCACATAAGTCCTAATGTGCCAGACCTTCTACACCGGTGGCAGATGATGCAGCAAACTGCATCACTTCCCTTGCTTTATATCATATAGGTTTTCTTCCACATCTGTAATGTTTACAAAGGCACTGAATAACAAGATGCAGAGGAGCAACTGGGATGCTTGTTTCTACATCTAACTACTCCTTTCCCATTGTTTCAGGGAAGTGTGATCGAGAGTGCTATCTACCCTATGTATAATGAAAAGGAAACAGAAGCATAAGACTACAAACAATAAAAATTCAATAAAGTAAGAGAGAGGAAAAGGAATATCTGGGCTAACTAATATTCACTGGTGCCTGAAACTGGACCTTGTCTTCAAGAAGACATGTATCTCACTTATCTACCATGGAATGAGCTATTCATCAAAAGCTAAATGCAAGTTGTTAGTAGTGGGGATAGTCTACTCTTGAATAAAGTACTTTTGTACCAAAAAAAAAACCTACATAGGGTAATAATTTAACGATCATTTTTCATACCCCCTTTTAATAGATAGCCACAAATAAGAAAAGCCCTAACAATCACACAATATTTTTGCCATCAATTAACATGAAAATACAAGTTTTTCCCCCTTTAAAAAGAAAAACATTTTCCTTGGGCAAAAGTTTGGAGGAGAAGGAGTAAAATCTGAGTTAAGAGCTATAGAAGACAACCTTAGGTTGTCCTGTGAGGGCCGTGAACTTTTGCATCTCAAAATAGAGGGACCCTTGTTAAAGCTTTTCCCTCTTACCCCCAAAAAAGCATTCTGCCAAGTAACAAGATGTACAGGCAAATAAATCCATGTACATTCATATAGCGCTGAAGACTAATACTTTGTAATCACTGCAACAAGCGAGCTTTACAAGGGCTAATCCAACTTGAGAAGCATTTGAGAGATGCTGTTTATCAAAGCTTTGCTACATTAGGTAAAAATATTTTACTAGAGACTGGGAACCCTCATGGTCAGAATACGCTCACCCAAATAAACACATATACTTCCATCTGTGACGAGCCAATTTGAATCTCAGGCTTTCAAGCACATATTGACAGAATCACTTCTCTGCACTTTTACTGACTTGTGCCAGGAGAAACTAAAATAACTAAAGTTTTGCGTATTCCAAATTTTGAACTGAGAGACAAGCTTGGAACTCAGATTCTCTTATTTTGAAAACATTCACATGCCCTGTTATAGAGAGGTTACCTGGCACAGCAGCTGCTGTGAAATCTGTAGAAGTACAGGAATGGAAAGTCCAAGGCACTGAAGAGATCACCTGAGGGACAAAGCAATACACTCAGTGGAAAATAGGAGGGGGAAAAAAAAAAAAATACCCGCTGTTACAGGCAGGGAACAGCAATTATATGACCATTACTAGTTTAACATTCCTTTGAGTCCTCGCAGCTGCCTGACTTTTCATTTGTGATGCTTTCCACATTTCTAGCGTGCTTAATGATTTCTCTGACGTTCTTAATTCTAGCCAGTTCCTGCCTTCAGTTGAAAAGGGTGAAAGGATTGCATAAAACCCAAGAATATTCTGTGTTAGTAGATAAATAATCCTGTTGATGCAACAGTTGCCAGTTAGACATGCATCATACCCACCTTTTTTTTTTTTTTTTTTTTTTTTTTACCTCAGAGCCCACAATGGTTCCTACTGTAGTCAGGAAACTGATTTACTGAAGCAACAGGAAACGTAGATATATGTTGGCTGTTTCCCTCTCTGGAATTTGAACTCTGACACACAGCACAAGTTGGGAGGTTTAAGAACACTCTCCCAGACCCAGGCTGAGCTCTAGAGTACTTGCATTTCCAGGCACCTGGGCCCAAGAGCTCTCAGAAACAATTCCCTGGAGTTTTCTTGCCTTCAAGGCTCTACAGATTCAGAGGAAGTTCTGTCTTTCACCTTTTGAAATGCAGGTCTATTTTCCTTGCCATTTCTGACTACCCTCACGTGAGAATGCTGTATACACAATGTGAACAACCAGGCAGAAGAGGAAATTGATGTTTATTTAATACTTCTCTCTGTCTTTCTGATTGAACAGTGTTCTAGTGAAAGTAATACATAGGCATCTTGATTATTCTAACAACTGAAACATCAGTATGAGAGGAATATTGCCTACCCTCAAATACCTGATTCTCCACTTTTATTCTTTTTTTTTTTTTTTTTAAATAAAGAACCCTTATTATTTTACCATAAACCAGCTCAAAAGCTGTTTCTTGTCTGTCACATGTTGCTTCTTTGCAAAGGGCAGGTAAGAAAGAAATTATTAAATATCACATAGATTCCACAGTGCTAGGTACCTTCCTCCTCTTCCTAAAGGATGTCACATTATTAGTCATTTTGCCATTGAATTCTAGGGCTAAACTCCTACAGGATTAGGAGTTTGCAGGCATGGAAAGGGAAAGGTAATATGCAGACCTAATGAAGGAACATCTCAATCCACTTTACCTGCTGGATGGGATGCAGAGGCCAACAGGACCACACTGGAGAAAAAAAATTAATTTTATGCTATAGTATTTATGACATGGCCTGAACATATAGACAGTTTTGCATGTGTTCTTTCATGGGTGAAATAAATTTCACTGAAGTAGAATAACTGAGGCATAAGTACCAAATCAATAACATTGGTTGGGAAGGATCTCCGGGGTCACCTAGTTCAACCACTCACCTGAAGTCGGTCTATCACGAACACACAGACATGTTCCCTGTTGCTTTGTCTAGCTAGATTTTGAAAATGTCCCAGAGTGCAGATTCCACTTGTTTTAATGTCACTCTGTCCCTCCTAATGTGCAGTTTTTAAGCAGCTTAGCTGTTGTACCATATTATACCATCTGCTACTCCTTAGAAGAGCATGACTCTCATCTTTGTAATTCCCTTTCAAGGGGGTATAGGCAGTTGTTAAGTTGCCCCTGGGTCTCCATTTTGCCAGTCTCACCAAGACCAGCTCCCTCAAACTCTCCTTGTAGTAGGCCATGCGCTCTAGGTCCCTAACAACGTCTGCAGTCCTCTGCTAGATTCTCCTCAGTTTCTCAGTATCTTTCTCAAACAAGGGGGCCAAAACTGAATAGAGTATTCCAGGGGGAGCCTCCAAAACGCTAAGTAGGACAATACTGAGAGGGAGAACAATTTCCCTAGATCTGCTGGTCACTCTTCCTATATGTATTCCAGTATACACTTGGCCTTAACTTGCCATGAGAGTGCCTCATTGATCTTACCATTCACTGTAACCCCCAAGTCCTTTTCATTAGAAGTGCTATTCAGCATTGCCAGTTGGTGACACCATTGAGACAGAACTTATATGGAACTGTACTTTTCGTTTTGCCGTACCTTGGGTGCCCCTGGGTCCGGGGGGGGGGGGGGGGATTTCAACTGTGCGTGCAAATGTCTGGTCTGTAGAACACTCAATTGTTGTAACAGTCAAATACCCAATTCTATGAGTGTGACTGTGCATACACTGCATATTCATGCCCAAAACATCACTTGGAAAAAGGACAAATGCTGCAATTAAACAGTTTTTTTCAATGCACTTTTAAATACTGAGCATCATCTCAACTCATGCACACTTTTTTCAAAGATGCAAGTGAATAAGAAAATCAGCTATGACCAGTTCTTTACTGGAGGATCATTTAATACTTCTGAGGTCCCATAAGGACTTCATGCTCTGAGTTTGTAGTATCGGTTGTACAGAGGCTTCTTCATCACTACTGACTGTTCCTGCCACTCTACATTGTTTCCAAGGTTAAAAGGCTACAGACAAAAATTCTGGGACACTTTAAACTGGGAGAAGCAAGCAAATCTTCCAAAGCAAAACTACAGCTCCCTCCAGATACCAACAATACATGCCCATGATGAAAGAGAAAAGAATATCTGGAGAGACCTTCTCTCTGAAAAGTAGCAAGCACTGAACTTATGAAGGTAAAAAGACATTCGTTAATGTCACGAATGCTAAAGCTAGGCAATTTCCCCTAATTACCACCAATTCTCACTAGGCCCAGTAGTAGCAGTAAAGTAGAAACCCAACCAGTGGAGGAATGGAATCCTGCATGACAAAAAGACAAGACGAAAGCAACAGCTTGAAGTGGTTCCAAGCACACACGGTGATGGGTAGAAAACTGAACTCACTGTAAATGAGCTAACTCAGGTACCCACAACAGTACAATCTCATCAGCAAGGTGCTCAGACCAGGCCAACTCTGGTTTTTCAGAGTTAACACAGCTATTGTTTCCAAGCTAGTTCACTTTCAGCTAGTTCCCATTCTCTGTATGACCATGTGACTGCACTTTGTGGCCTCTCTTCAGCATGCTTCAGCGAATCACAGGGTTATTCCCAGAGGCACCTGCACCAAATGAACTCCAAAGAACATGGAAATCCTGTGACTAGTAAAGTCTCAGAGGGGAAGCTCATAACTGAAACCAGCGGTAGAAGACGAAGGGCTGAAAAAGGAAACTGGTCATGAAGGATATATAGTCAGGTATTTCAGGCTTAACATTTTATACAAAGTATTTGAAAGACTTACAACATGCAATACTCTTCTGCCCCTCCTCCCCCACACATACACACTCTCCCCACACTAGATGGCCAAAAGGAGTTCACAATAAATAAGCTCAATACCACAGTTTCCTGTTAAAAGACAGAAAAGGAAGCAGGGGCCTATCGCTTTTGACTGAATAAGAAAGACAACAGGAGACTGGAAGAACAAGTGAAACTGAATCAACAGTGATGAGAATTATGACTAAGCTGTGTTCCTCCGTTTTTGCTTTCTGCTTTATTACTACTTAAACAAAAAAAGTGAGATTGGGAAATGTTCAAAAAGAAACTTCCTTCTGCAACCAAAAGAAATTGATAAGGCCACCAGACACCCCAGGCTTGGATCCAAAGAAAATATGAGAGGAAAACAAAGCTTTTTTTTGTGTGAAGTGAGGGGCAGGTTAAGGCAAATGGGCTAGATGGCAATACAACCACATTGAAACTCTGCCCTGAACAGAACATCAGTAGGAAAGATAGTGATGTTGCAGGACCAGATTAGGGATTCAGGGGTTTCCAGGAGGACAGTCTGGACATCAGGTCTCAACAGAAGAAACAAAACCTCTTTGCAGGGCTCCTCTACTCTTCCTTTCTTCCTCATACTCATAATGCACTACTTTGGACTGGATCATCTACAGTTTTCCATCCGGCTAAAAAGAAGGGGGGGGGGGGGGTTTACCCAATGCATTTTATGCCCACAAAGCTGCCTTTGCCTATTACAAAAAGTCTACTGCAGCTTTCTGAACTTACAAATGTGCCAGATAAGCACACTTTCCAAAAGCCAGCTATAGTATAGTTACACAGGGTAGAGTCTTTACCCCACATCTTTGCCAGTACCATTTATTTATTCAATGTTTGACATTCTCCTGTTCTAAGTCCTTGTTTTGTCTTCACCAGTGACTGCTAGGCTGTCCGGCATGCCTTTGTGAACAGAGATAGCTATTGGGATGTACCAAAACTTTCTTCCAGGAGCAACATAGCTGTATCCACCTCATCATAGGAAAAAGATCAAGACAAACTATGACCCACTTCTAAGAAGCACTATGTATACCTCAACATGCTAGGTGAACATTACTACCCCCTCACGCTACCTCTTGTCAGCTAGCTGGGAAAAAAAAAAAATCTGGCTCCCACTTTGATGGGAGACCGGAAAGGAATAAAAGAAAATGTCAGGTTACTGAACAAACACTAGTTAGTATCAGTAGCACAGAAGTCAGAGTGCAGGGAAATATAATACCATGGCGAAAAAAAGCAGCTGCAGGAGCAAGACTGGGAGAATGAGGTTCTTGGAAGTGTATCTCCCCTCTATCTCCCCTCTTCCCCCTGCAGCTTAAATACAGGGGAGAGGGACAAGAGAAGCAGCATCACGCATCCCTTCGGCGCATGAAGTACAGTTCTGCTTTCCCTCCTATACCTGTCCCCTATCTGGCTCCTTTAAAAAAAATAAAAATAATAACGAAGTGAGAAGAATGCCACACTTTCAACATGAGCAAGTATTTCTTCAGACCTATTTTGTTCTGGAAAGTTCCCATCCACGTACATTTGCTAACACCCTAATTTATGATATTTTCCCCCAAAATTTGTTCCAGATTTCAAAACAAGAAACAGTGCATGTAGGGACATAGTACAGTAGGAGACTTTGCTAGTTTCAGTTGCACCTCTGGCAATATCCAATAGAGCCAATGTAGGTAATATTTTTTAATCTCAACGTGTTTTTTTTAACCTAACATATTAGTACATGAAAATATCCAGTAGCTCGGGGCAAAACTTCTAATCTACTCTATCCAGGCAGCATCCACGTTCAGAGTACAAGTCTGTTTTTGTACTAAACAGAAACACTTTCAACAGACCCTACTATAATAAGCAATATCTGGCTGTGTTCACATAGCTGCTCTAGTCCCTCCTCACCCCCACAC